GCTTGGGAGGCAGGGCCGGCTTCTTCAGTGCCCCGACCTCGCTGCGTCGCTGCCCGATTGCCTCCACCTCCTTGAAGTAGGAGACCGCAACCGTTATCCACCTCTGGTCGGCAAGTTGGGAGAAAACCCTCGAGGCGGTGGAGATCGGTGCCCGGCCCTCTTGGTAGAGAGAAGCAGGAGGATCCGGCTGCAGGCTGAGCAGCCAAGCCAGGGTCATGTCTCCCTGGTCTATGTTTGCCTGGTCGATGGTCAGCTGCAGGAGGGCTAATAGGTCTGCACAGGCCTCGGTGGAGCCACGGTCCAGGTGATCCGACGCCTGGGCCACCATCCAGGCCAAGGGCGCCAAGGTGCGCTGCTTGCCATACCCTCCGTACCCTTCCAGGTACCGCACCATTGTTGCGAAGTCGGGGTCGACGAGGCCTGTGGGATTCATCCGCTGGGCCGCGTTCTGCCTGACACGGCGGGAGAAGGCTCCGGGAGACGAAGCGAGCTCCTGCTGGAGCTTCTGGCGGCCAAGGGCTCCCCTCACTGAAGTGGAGGCGGGTGCATCCAGCATCGGCTCCGATCTGCCCTGCTCGCCCCACCAAAGACACCAGAGCATTCGACTGGGCAAGGACGGCTGCCGCTAGCGAGTCGGAAGACTGGGGGGCAGCCTCGGGCAAAAAGCCGTCGCCGCCGCCAGTGATAAGTGCAAGCTGTGCCTCGTGGTCTGCGACAGGAGAGGGTAGCTTCGGCCGGGCCTTCGTCGCAGGAGGAGGGCCCACAAGGTGGTGGATAGACTTCGGCACGTGCTGGGCTGGAGGAAGGACTGAGGCACCGCAAGTCCAGACGCGGCGGGGCCAGGAAGAGGGCCGAGTCCAGGAGGAGCACCTGCTGCGGGGCCCTGAGCCAGGGAGTTGCTGCCCGCAGCAGGGGGAAGAAGGGCTGACAGCTGCTTTGCCATTCCCCGAACGAGTTCCTGAAGAGCAAGGCCGCCACGGTAATCCTTTTGGCCTTGGGCCTGCCGCGCGGGGCTGGAGCAACCTCCTCCACGGCAGTCTGGTAACCTGACCTTGTTTCGCCTAGCATCTCGGCGGCCCACTCCCGGGCCTGCTGCAGCACATCGGAGGCAAGGGGACCGAAAGCCGTGAGGTCTGGGATGGAGAGGGCAGCCGCTAGGTCGCCCGACAAGTCCACTATGAGGGCTCCTATGCTTTCGTGGGCCTGGGGAGCAATCCAATCTCCCGAGGGGGCAAGTCGTACGGCCGGGGCTTCTATCTCCAGGGAAGGGCCCAGGCCTTCTGCAGCCTCGTTTTCCATGCCACTTTGGAGGGCTTCGGCAGGCAGGTAGCCAAGGGGGAGGCAGAGAACAAAACCTTCGCCTCGCTTCATCACAGCATAGCAAACGCACGTCAGAGGATCCTCGGCGCCACCGGGGGGCCAGGGCCAAGTAAACTCCAGTAGTGTCACCTGGCCTGTCTCGGCCGCGGGCAGCGAGTCCAAATTCATTGGATCTCCGGGAAGGCAAAGCCCGCCCCCGCAAAGTAAAGCCTAGCCTCTGCTTTCGAGGGGAAGCCGTGAGAAACCGATCCTCCTCGGCGAAGCTCGCCGACAATGTCCTTATAGGCAGAGAAGGTCCGAACAGCCGTGGGGTTCTCTAGGCCACGGGCGGCAACAATGCAGGTTGCTCAGGCCTGTGGGCTCGGAGTGGTTAGGGCTCTCGCTCTGGGCTTCAAGCACAGCCCGGGCCCAGCAACCTGCAGTCCAAGCACGCAAAGCTCGGGCCTGCCAGCCTAAGGTACCTCCACGAAGCGTACGGCAAGTGTCTCGCAGGTGGACCGGGAGAGAGGGGAAACCTGCCTCAACCTCAGATCTAGGCCTCAGAGGGCCCTGCAAGGGGTACTCAGGCACGCGCAAGGGCGAGGGAAGAACGGTCCTCACAAGGGAAGGTGTGGGCGGAAGTGCTCGTGCGCCGCTGCTCAAAGGCAAGGCTGCCTCAACACGGGGAACACCTGAAGAACCTTCTGGCCCGGAGGCCTGCAAGGGGGAACCTGCGGGAGGCAAGGGAGAAAACAAAGACCTCACCTGGGGCCTAGCAGGAAGCTGGCGGTCAGGGGAAGAGTCCAGCGCCGACTCCTTGGGCCCGGAGGCCTGCAAGGGGTAAGGGGCTTCGGAAGAAGAGGCAGCGAGGTAGGAGCGCGAAGAGGGGCTGAAGTCAACCAACTCAAAGGAGGAAGTCGAGCTCTCCTGAGAGTGATGTGCACGGGGCCAGGGGCGGCAGACACGGGGTCAGGGCTTACCCTAGCAACCGAAATCCGGAAACCACTGACCTCAATACGAAGCTCCTTGTCCATGCGCGTACCCTGCAAGCCGTTTACGTGCGCCCGAAGAGAGCGCCCGGGTAACCTGCGGTTCCGTCACCTTAGAGCACGCAAAGTTGCTGGCAGCTCCCGTCCTGAAGAGCCAAAGGCAAACCACAGTAAGGATTCCCAGCAAGTACGATGCCAGTAAGGATCCGAAGCCCGGGCCGCGGCAGTGCGCGGGGCACCCCAAGCCCCACCAATTTGTTTCCGAACCTTGGACCAGGAGGCCTGCCAGGTTCCTGAAAAGCTGAAGGTCCATGAACTCTAACTTCAGCTTAGAAATCTTGAGCAACAGGGCCATCGTTCGATGCTCAGCTCTATGTTCCAATCTTTCAAACTCTCCGAAAGCCTAGTTGTGCTCGATTGAACCTGTGCTCTCGACGAGGCCAAGGTTTGGTTGTCTGGATTTCCGAAACCTGGGGCTCAAGGTTCAGGTTTCGAAGCTCGAAGCTGACGGCCCAAATATGTTGGTCCTGCGTTTGGGTTTTGGCGGTTGAACTACAAACATACGAGGGGACCGTAAGGACTTCAAGCTTGGGGAATATGCATGCTAGCATTGCGTCGAAGGCATTGAGGAATCCTGCAGCAACAATGTGACATAGTATTCGGGCCCCTGCAACCCCGAATCCTCAATCCTAAAAGCACCTCTGCCACATCCGAAGCACTGGGACCATATATTACCCCGTGCACCCTCAACTAAACCCTGAAGCCCTATAACTTACCCACAAACGCTTAAAGCAGGCTGGGAGCCGTCGGTGACAGCATCCACGGCATCCACCACATCGTCAACGATGGGAACTCCCTGCTGGTTCGGGAGGGATCAGGGGTCGCTTTTGACGTTTAGGGCGCGGAGGTTTCAGGTGAGGGCTTCAGGGCCTGAGGTCGTAGGGCCTGGGGGTTTCAGGACTTAAAGTTTTGGGCGTAAAGCACGACGAGGTACGATGCTTCCAAGGTTCATGGTACAGGGATTCTGTGCGGCAATCCAACCATAAATTCTCAATCAAGGCTCTGACCCCAAGACCTACATCCTGGTGCTTCTGACAACCATATAGCCTTGATCCCAAGGCCTCGAGCCCTTCAAACCCTTCTTTTGCAACGCCGAAGACCAAACAGCAAAACGCTCTTCCCTTAAGTGTTGGTCGGACCGCACCTTGGAGGACACTGACGAATCCAGGTGTTGGGCGGTAGCGCTGCTCCTTTGAAGAGTCTTGGCTTTGTCCTAAGGGTTGCCTAAGCCTGAAACTCCCTGAGGGCTCCTTGTGAAGGGATTCTTTGGTGAGAGTCCCTCTGAATTAGGATCTGCTCGGTGGGGTCCTGTAGTCTCTCCTCTCCTTTTCCATCAGCTTGGGACTTGGAGCCGGGCCCTCGAAGAAGGCGAAGCCGAAACCCGAAGAATCCTAAGCCCCACATCCTGAAGCAACCATATATGCCATAAACGTTTAACCCTCAAAGCCCCTAGACCGGCCGTCCCCCAAAGGACCGCGAGGCCTTTTAGACGTCTTCGCCCGGCGCTGCAGTAGCCGGGCCTTCATCCGCACTGCTCCGGCTTGCCTCGTCCTCGCGGCAGCTTGACCCGAGGCTGATGGAAAAGCACAATGGTAGGACTTGAGTTTGATGTTAGCATATTCAATGAGCATGTAGAAGATAATAAAGTATGATGTTGGTACAAAATATGATAGTATAGATGTGACGCACCCTAGCATGCGTTTGTTGGTCAAATGTGACGAACTGTAGCAACACTCATGTGGTTCGGGGTTTGCAGCTGCTATGGCAACCGCGCATGGGTTCTCTTTCTCCAGGGCTTTCCTCAGGCTGGATACCAGTGCTTCAAAAAAAGTAGCCCACAATAAGGCCGGATACCGGCGTTTCAAACAGTAGGGAAGGGGACCGCAACCGAAAAACCCGAAGCAAGGGCTCTCTTAAGCTCCAATATCAAGCATGAGACTCCATGGGCACTTCTTGCTGAAACTAAGGGCTAAGATCCTGGGATTCAGATTTAAGGAGTTATACCCCTTTCGGATAACAACAATCCAGGGTCGAGGACTTTGGATGAAGGGTTTAGAGTCTAGGGCTTAAGCAGAGCTGTCCTCTTTGGGCTTCCGCTGTTCTTCACTGCCGCGCTTTTGCTGGTGCGAAGAAAACTCGCGCCTGTCCCTTTGGTGGTTGTGCTTGTGGAGGACCTTCCTGGGCCGAAAGCAAGAAGCCTGCAAAACCCCAAGACAACACCCTTGCAGGATTCTCAGAGCCCGCATCAGGTTCATGGGGCATAGCTTAGGGATTTCCGGGATTTGGGATAGAGACATTTCTTGGGGTCCGGGGGTTGGAGGTCCAGAGTTTAGGGGCATCGTCCGTGGATCAAGCCCGGTAGCCTACAGAAGCTCTACGGGAAGCTGAGACTAACTGAAAGCTTCGTGTTTTCATGATGGGATTGGGGCAGGTCTCACGGTAAAGGGACCAAGGACGCCCCAAACCGTCCAAACCCTTATGATACACCCGAAACCCCAAACCCCCTCACCCTACACCCCAAGCCTTAGACCCTGAACCTTCACGAACCCCAAACCCTGAAACCCCAAAACCCCGAACCCCAAACCCCTAAACCCTGAACTTGAAGGGCCGAGGGCAAGATTCTTCAAGACCTCAGTGGCCTTTTGCGTTCCCGCCACTTCCCTGGCTTTCGTTTCGGCCTCGGAAGCCGCGGCCTGAAAGGATGTCGGGGGCAAACTTACAAGGCTGTCTGTTTACAGGGCTGCAGATGGTTTAGGGGGTTTGGTTTGGGTGTCGTCAGAAATTCACAGCGTTCACTGAAGTAGGACGGGTTTGGTGCTCTCTTACAGTATCATGACACAGCAGCCGGAAAGTTTGAAGGCGGCAATGGGCACGGTTTGCTGCGGCAGAAGCATATTCCCACTGCCGCGTTGGTTTTAAATCCATCTTCCAAGTTTAGGCTTCGGCTGGACCATGTTTTTTCTGTGCGCGTTCATAGTTGTACAATACATCCTCAAGCCCGAAGCTTCCCTGTTTGTCCTGCGTGCGAGACCAGGCCAGAACAAAAAACAAAGTTGGAAGGTTTTGAAGTTGGAGGAAGAGTTGGGTGCTGGAATCTTAGGGAATGCTTTTGCTAACTGCCCAGCCCTCACCTCAGACTTAACAAAAGAAGCTGGAGGATCCTGATAGGGGCTGAAGATGATTCGTTGAGTCTCAGCGCTTAGAATTTGGGCTGCCTGGGGCCGGTTCCTGGGTCGTAGAGCTCTCCTTTGCTAGTTTTGATCACTGAAATCCGAACCCTCCAACCCCCTTTCTTGCCAGTGCTGTAACCGGGAATCGGAACCCTCCGATGCTCCAGGCCTGAACCCATGTACCTCAAACGAGCACTGAACCAAAACTCTAGACCACACTCCCTGACAGGCCGAAACCAATGGATGCACGCTGCCGCCCCCAAGCCCAGGAACACAATAGACCCTCGGAAATTGTAAACACAACCACCCAAAAATCGAAGCCATCCCAAAAACTGCGAAAAGTCAAGACTCCTCTCATGTTTAACCCCCTGTTGGTCCCCTCGTGGTCCCCAACAGGCACTCCACCTGGCCACCGGTTTGACCGCGCTTCCACTCGTTCAGGCTGTGGATCTCGATCTGCTGGAGCTCTACGATCGTCTCCAACTGGGCCACCTGAGAGGGAGCTTGAAATCGTTTGTACAGGCTAAGTCCTTTAAAGGTTTGGGGCTTAGGGCTCTATCCGGGCTTTGTACAGGGGGTGGGTTCCCTTAAAAGTAGAGGTAACTTGTTTTCCTCACGCGTCCTTATACTAAGGATCCAACTGCTGGGGCGTGGATAGTGAGCTCTTTATCCAGTGAGGTCTCAAGGGCTTGAGGACCACCGCATTGTCGGGTCGAAAGCTCGAGCTTTCTCCTTGGATACCCGACCCCTGAAGCTGCACAAAATCCGCATTGATCTCGATTGCCGAAGCAACGTGACAGAATTACATTCGGGGCCTAAACTTATCGGAACGTTATCCCTCACTTACTAAACCCTGATTACGGGTGCAGTGACAGGTCAGGCTAAACAACCCTGGAAACCCTAAACCCTGAAATCTTGACCCTGTCAACTGCATAAACCCGGTGGCTTCAACAAATCCTACAAGCCCCTAACACCCTAAAATGCAGTCCCACAACCCAAACCGTACGATCCCCTCTAATCTAGAACCGCTAAAGACTGCAAACCCCCTCGAAAGCCCTTTTCAGTCCTACGATGCCAGCCCCGTGACGACGACAGGACACCAGGAGACCGCGAAGAGACCCCAGCAGCTAGAGGAGAACAGCAGGAAATGACTGCAAAAGCCCCGGGGAGACGACCAGGAGACCATCTCTCCCCATGCACTTGCGGGATTCACGTGTCTTCAATGATTCCCCGTACATGCTCGTTTACTGCTGGGGCTCAAAGTTTTGGAGACCGGAGGCAACATATTGGAATCTAACACGGATCAACTACGCACACACGTCCCGAGGAAGCTACCGGTGCTCAGTCTCTTTGCTCTAAACGTTAAAACCCGTACCAACTGCCTGCAGAACAAAACCGACACAACAAGGAGCTGATGTACAAACCCTATATCAACACTGCCAAACTCCTGTCGTTATTACATAAACCCCAGGAAAGCCCTACAAGCCTGGGCCTAAACCCTACACCATTATGAACACTGAGCAACAGCTCGAAAAACCTCCAGCTCCAGCCTTCAGCATCAGAAACTCGAGGTTTGCGCCCAGCTGGCCGAAGCCGTGGCGACCCGAGGCGTTGGTGCTGTTGTCCTTGGTCATTTCGAAAATCTGGAGTCTCGGGTCTCGGGTTCTGAGGCGGTTGGTCTCTTTGTTGGGCGTGCTGAAGGCGTTCAGGTCGCATTTGGACGTTTCTGGTGCTGTTGGGCATGTTGTTTCGTGTTTGGTCTTGGGTTGTAGGACGGTTGCAAGTGTCTCCGTCCAAAGACTGTGTCTTGCTGGGATTCACGGCGGTTTGAGCGGTAGTTTCAGAAACCCCTTGCAGCTTCGGTCGAAAGTATTCGGGAGGTGTCAGTTCATGTCACGATCTACGAATCTCAGACGAAACAGCAACGCAGAAGGCTGTGCTTGTTCGGACGGCCTTATGATCGAGGTGAGGGTGGTAGGTTCTGTAGCATAGCTAACTCGTGGCGAAAAAGCGTCCAAGTCCGGCATCTGCGTTGCCTCCTCGAGATCGTGCGCCTCGGAGTGCAGGTGCAGGCGGAGTGCAGGCGCATGCTGCGTTCTAGTTCAGGAACTGACATAATACCATAGCAGGGTGATCTTTCCTTCCTTATGTTAGAACCGAAAAAAGAAAAAAGTCTTGCAACCTCGCCTTGGGAGGCTGTCTCTGTATGCGAAACCATCAGCTGATTGTACTCACTGGGAAGATCTTGGGATCATGGCAGAAAGCTGGGGGGGGGGGCCCAAACCCTGAATGCAAAACAAGCGCTGAAAGCCTCCAGCCGCCTCCAGCCCCCCAATCCCTGAGCCCAAGGGTCTAAGGAGTCTAAGGTCCAACAACAATCGAAGAAACGTTGCGAAGAGTCCAAGACGCCAGATTCTTGAGGATGCTCTGCTCAATGGACGCGTTGGTGCTGTTGCTTGCATTGCTGCCTTGGGTCTTGGATTTTCGGGATCAGCAGTTTAGGGCTTAAGACCCCTGCACATCTACATCCGCCCGACAAACCTGCATGTTACACCACCCGTCACAGTAAATCCCAAAAATAAAGCACACGCGTCTGCCAGGCCCCAGTAAGCTCTACAAACCCGCAGGTTTCAAGCTTTGGCTTCGAAGGGGGATCCGTCGCTGGAGATCCGAGTTGCCCTCGGTGAGGTCGAAGGGAACGCTCCCGACTTCGGCCTTCCAGGTGCTGAAAACACGCCATGGGCTTTTAGGGCTGATGGAGCGGCTTCTTCATTTCAGGCTTCTAGAAGTTTAGTTTTGGGTTGTAAGGGCTCTTTGGAAAGGTAGGCTTTAAACTTGGGGGCCCTCCAAAACCTTTTGGGGCTGCAGGTGGGTTCGGCCGGGCTTGGGGCTTCAGGTGTCTGTGGCCTTTTAGGGTTTTAGGGTTTGAGGGCTTAAGGCGTTTGGATTTTGGGCATTTACGGGTTACGCTTTGGGTGCTTCATTGCTGTCGAGGTCTGGTGTTTCGAGTCAACAAAGGAGCCGCAACTGAAGGGCAGAGAATAAGATTGTAGGCTGCGGGTGCAGAAACCCGAAACTTCAAACCAAACTCCTGACCCTGAAGATCACTTCTTACCCCGCAAAGCTGAAGCTGACTCCTGACACTGAGAATCCTGAACCCCAAGCCTCCTGAACCCCAAGCCTCCAAACTAAAGACCAAGCAAAAATGAAACCAAAAAAGACCCCAGTTTGCATCGAGGGCCCCGAAGCCTTTACAGCTAGCAGCGAAGGCGCGGTGGCTGCGCAGCCGGGTCCTCCCGCAAGTCGGGGTAACTTTGTGAGGAATGCTTCGAAGATGTCTGAAGTTTAGAGGATTTTGAGCATCTATATTGAGTATGGCTGACTGCTTCAGAGTTTGGGAGACAAGAACCTTCCGTCGGATGTGGTTGTGAAGGGCTGTCGGGACTATGTATACTGTATGGGGTAGTCCGTGTCCGCGTCAAGTTTACTACGTAGACTTGAGAATCTAGGATTTACGACTTAGGGATAAGGGTTCAGGCTTCCTTGAGGGTTAATGGCTTCATCATGAAGCATTTAGGGTTTGGAGCTTCAAGGCTTTCGGGGCGAAGGCTTTATGGAGGCTTGAATTGAGGCTGAGGGTATCCTGTGCATTAACTTCTCTCAGCATCTGATCCTGCACCATGCTTGAGAAGTGCTGCGTCGACCTTTCATTGTGATTCCACCCACAATTATAGAAAATACTATAATATCATTACTTGCACCTGTACATGCATCAATCATCGCCGTGTCTCTGATCGTCTTTGTTGATGACGTGAACAAAAAACCAAATACCACAAACCTGCTAACTATTCCCCAAAAACTACCTTTAAGCTAGCAGATAAGAAACAAGAAGCCAGGCCCTGAACCCTGAAACCTACGCTCTAAAGCCTTGGAGCCTAAAACCCTTCCCAAAGCCCTACGATCATCCTGGATACAAAGTTGCCTAAACCCTAAACCCTAAACCCTAAAGAGGCTTTCTCTACCGTAGTGTATAGGGCTTCAACAAGCACGGACCCTCAACAGGGTACCCCAAATTTTCTGGAACTCCCCTACAAAACCCTCCCACAAAACCCTACCAAAAAAGGGAACCCCTTTAAAACACATACCTGGAAAGGCCCGTTTAAAACCACAAGACAAGGGCCCTGCTAGGAAGAATAGGGTAATGGGGTATATTCCAATAGTATTAGACCAAAGACATCCAAACAAGAGTTAATGTTCTGGTTATTCATGCCCGTTCACTCATTTCATCATCGTTCTCCTTGTCCGTGGCACTCCGCGCTGCCCCCGGAGGTGCTGAAGGATGCCCACGCGAAAGGGCTGGCGCCTCGGAGCTTTCAGGGTAAGGAACTCAGGGTTTGCGATTTCAGGCGTAGGGCTCAAAGCTCTCATGTAAGGGTTGGGGGGCTTGGGTCTTACGATGTTTGGTTTGCCTGACTTCATGCCATAGGATGGCATTTAGAATTAGAAACCCTGAATTTTAATCACCAATCTGTACATCTGACCCAAAAAGCCCTCAACGCCAAAACTACTTTTCAACCCTAAGCACCAAGCCCGACAGATCCACACCAAAGTTGCAGGATCCAGAGTTGTTCGAAATGAGTGAAGTCTGCTGAGTCTTTTCTGAGTTTTGTTCCCAGTCAAACCGGACCTATTGATCATCTCGTCGTCTGAATTCCTGCGCCCACTCATTCAAGTTGTGTGTCAAAAATGTCCCAAAGATTCTCTCCCGTTGCGACAACAGCATATGTGAGCTTCTCCAGACCCCAACCAACCTTTGCACGCAACGGTGGCTACAGCATGTACACACACACACAAAAGACAAAAGCAAAAGACGCGCATTCAGACTTTGACAAAAAGAATTTCATGAATATATCCAGGACACACACACACACATGTTTACATATTTATCTGCACACAAACACAGCTGCGCCAGCTCACTTGCGAAGAGACGCCGAAGATCAGGGTCAAAGACCCAACGGTTCTTGTGAAGCTTGACCACCTGCGAAGCACGAAACCGACGTGCTGTATTTCAGGGCTTTTGGATTTCTGGGTCGTGGGCTTGCGGCATACAGCTTGTTGATTAAGGCTTTGGGTTTAGGGTTTCAGGGTTTCGGACAGAGACTATGCCACCCAAACTGCCAATCCCGAACAATCGTTGCTTCGTCTCCATGCTCCAACCTCATCAAGGTGGCACAGTAGATCGAAGAAAAATCAGGCGAACCCAGGCACAAAGCGTGCGTTGAGCCGAGGTTGCTGCAAGACTCTGGGTGTCGGACTACTTGATGGAAATGGAATCAAGGCTGGGATCTGGAGGCGGACAGAAGCCAATAAAGCCGCATGGAATAATTAACCAGAATCTTCCTTTGGGAGTCGATCACAACCTCGAAAACAGCATTTTGGACGCCCCACCACTCCAAGAGCGTTCCGCGTACTGCGATTGTACTCGAAACAGCATTTTGGATGCCCCGCCACTCAGAGAGCATTCCACGTACTGTGTTAATACTCGAAAACAGCATTTTGGAGGCCCCCCGCCGGCTCCATCGAAAACATCGAAAACAGCATTTTGGAGGCCACGCCAGTCGAAGAGCGTTCTCATATTGCGTTTGTTCTCGAAATCAACATGTTGGAGACCCTGCACTCGAAGAGCATTCCGCGCACTGTGCGTTTGTACTCGAAAACAACATCCCACCGCTCGAAGGGCTTTCCGCGCATTGCGTTTTACTCGAAAACCCACCACTCGAACAGCGTTCCGCGTACTGCATTTGTACACTTTGGAGGTTCCACGTACTGCGCGTGTGCTCGAAAACAGAGGCCCCACCACTCGAAGAGCGTTCCGCGTATTGCGTTGCGTTTGTACTCGAAAACAGCATTTTGGAAGACGATGACGGTGCCCCTCGCCTTGAGCCATTGAGCCGGAGTTTAAGGAGGGCGGGGGTCCACGCAACCAAACCAAATCCTAAACCCTAATCCCTATTTCAAAATTTCTGCCAAGCAATCTGTAATGGAATCTTCATGGCACTCAAGATTCACTGACATGTTGAGTCTCTCTTCGGAATGCATTCTGCAGCTGATGTTTTCAAGGATGGTGGAAATCTTGTCAACGCCTTGTCACTCGATCTTTTCAGCATAGCCTGCCACTCATGAGAGATGCAAGCCCGCCTCGGATCTAGAAAGACCCCTCTGGTGAAACATGAAGTCAACGCCAAACTGCGCTGAGCAAGACGACTGGAATTACCGCCTACGGTGCTGCAAGCTTGACTGCCCCAAACGAAGAGCCACAAGATGCCCACACAACAAGATGTTTGCAGTGCCATGTCGCTACCTGGCTGCATAATGCGGCAAGATTGATGACAAAACACGAGAGCTGCTTGACTGCTCCAAGCGAAAAGCGTGATCCCGGGTTGTGGCGGGCGGGACCAAAATTTACTCGAGCACCATCTTGCCGGCATTCTCCATCTTTCGACTGTTCAAGGGGTACAAGGTTGCTGAAATTTGCAACGCATTCAAATCTCCGGATAAATCAAATTTCTGAAAACCACAAGGCAAACATTTTAGGTTTTTGGCTCCTCGGCGAGATCACCATTGCCCCACCCTCCCCCGTGGTCTCAAGGCTCTTGGACACGTGTGTGGTCGGGCCCAATGTGCATGCCCATCGTCTTGAGCCATTGAGCCGGAGTTTAAGGAGGGCGGGGGTCCACGCAACCAAACCAAAATCGTAAACCCTAAACCCTATTTCAAAATTTCATTCATCCTTCAAGTCAGTCTGTCAAGCAATCTGTAATCGAATCTTCATGGCACTCAAGCTTCACTGACATGTTGACGCACACACTCATATGCACTTGACTCTGTTCGGAATGCATTCTGCTGCGGATGTTTTCAGGGATGGTGGAAATCTTGTCAACGCCTTGTCACTCGATCTTTTGAGCATAGCCTGCCACTCATGAGAGAGGCGGGCCCGCCTCGGATCTAGAAAGACTCCTCCTGCAGGAAGAGCTGTGGCATGGCACCATCACCA